TTATTATTATTATTATTATTATTATTATTATTATTATTATTATTATTATTATTATTATTATTATTAAATTCACCCAATAGGCTTTCATGTCTAAGGTGGGATTAGAACTCACCATCTCCTGGTGATTGGCCCAAAGTCGCCCAGTTGGCTTTCATGCTTAAGATGGAACTAGAACTCACCATCACCTAATGATTGGCTCAAAGTCGCCCAGTTGGCTTTTCATGCCTAAGGCGGGAGTAGAACTCACGTCTCCTGGTGATTGGCCCAAAATCACCCAATAGGCTTTCATGTCTAAGGTGGGATTAGAACTCACAGGCTCCTGATGAGTGGCTCAAAGTCGCCCAATAGGCTTTCATGCCTAAGGCAGGACTAGAACTCAGAGGTTCCTGAGGATTGGCTCCAAGTCGCCCAATAGGCTTTCGTGCCTAAGGTCAGACTAGAACTCACAGACTCCTGGTTTCTAGCAGACCCCGATGGCTGATATTGAAGACTCTCAAAATACCCGTTCTGTGTCTTAAACCCAAATCCTGCCGCAGCTGCACTCTTCTTTAGATTGCTGAGGAATTCATTTTTCTTTTTTTCTCTCCTTTTTCCAGTATGTGCAGTATATGGAAAAAAAGCTTTTCTGGTGCGCCTACTGGGCCGGCTTGGGCATCTTGTCCTCGGTGGGACTTGGAACAGGTCTTCACACCTTTCTGCTCTACTTGGTAAGTTTAACTTTTTTTCAAAGGTTGGGATTTTTCACTAAAGAAAAAAAAATACCCCTTTGGGGAAATTTGGGGAAACGAGCACATTTGCACGATCTGTCTCACTCTTGTTTGGAAAGAGGAAAATAGATTTTGACGGGGTTTAAGTTAAATAGATTTTGGGTTTAAATTTAACCCAAATACTACTGAAGCAATTATAGAACTTAAGCCAGACATGTCAAACACAAGGCCTGGGGGCCGGATGCGGCCCGCGAAGTGGTTTCATGTGGCCCTCGAAGCCATCCTGGAAACAGTGAGGGAACGGCCCCCGCTGCCTTGGCCCTGGCCCAGGCCGGCCGGGGGCCAATGTACAATTTTGTGGTGGCCATCTATGCTGAAACACATTCAGTCTTAGCTCCACAAGGCCGTCCAGAAACAGAAACATCTGCAAGAAAGCCACCCAGCTCAGAGCGCACCAAGGACCCCACAGTTCAACCCGGAGCTAGACACATTCTCTTCTGTTGAAAAGTATAAAAAAGACCCTACCACAGTTTCTTCATTTAATCATAGAATGTTTTTGGTTTATATAGTTTTTATTTTGGTGACTGTGAGCCACTCAGAGTTATCTTGAGGTAAGATGGGTGGCCTATACATTTTATAAACAAACAAACGTACCAGCCAGCCAGCTAACCAACCAACTAAACCAGTGGTCTCCAACCTTTGTAGGCTCGCAGCCCGGAGGGAAGGAAAGCAGCTTCCAATTTGGTGCGTGCACGGGCATACGCAAACAGGGCCATGCGCAGCAGTGTGGCACTAGTGGCCCCATTTGCACATGTTCAAATGTTCAAACGAGCCATGCACACGCATCCCACGCTAGCAGCCTCATTCACCCATGCGCAAATGGGCCGCACACAACTGCCTGGCGCTATTGGCCCCATTCGCACATGCGCAAGCGGGCTGTTTACACCCACTCGTGGTAGCAGCCCAGTTTGCGCATGCACAAATGGGCCATGAACACACACCTGACGCTAGCAATCCTGTTTGCGCCACATTCATGCACAAACGGGGCCGCGGGCACTAGCGCGAACGGGGCGGGGAGTTTGCACGCATGCATGCACACCCTGGACAGCTATTTCTGTGGTCCGCTGGCCAAGAGGCTGCAGTCCGGTAGTGGGCCACGGCCCATAGGTTGTGGATCCCTGAACTAAGCAACCCACCCAGAGTTCAAACGGGCTGTGTACACCCATCAGCACTAGCGGCCCAGTTCGCGCATGTGCAAATGGGCCATGCATACACACCCAGCACTAGCGGTCCCATTCACGCCCACGCGCATGCACAAATGGGGTCGCCGGTGCTAACGTGAATGGGGGGAGTGCGCACATGTGCATGCGCACCCCAGACAGCCATTTCCACAGCCCGCTGGCCTAGAGGCTGCAGCCCGGTGGTGGGCCACGGCTCATAGGTTGGGGACCCCTGAACTAAACAACCCCACCCAGAGTTCAAAGAAGACAAAGTTGGTTTGAGCTTTCCAGTTGCATCTCTGCCCAAAAAGTCTTCCATCATTCTGTTTCCATCTTCCTGACCTGTTGCTTTGTGCGTGGCTGAGTTCTCATAGGGGGCCTTGCCAAAAGCATGCAAATGATTTTACAGAGTTGGCTTCTTCCTTTTTCACTTCAGTTATCTGGAAAACTGTTTTTTTTTCCCTTTCCCTTTTTGGAATCGAATGTCGTGGTTGGTTTCGGAGTGTCGCCATTTGCTGCCAGAAGGGTAACAATTAAAACTAGAGGAAATCTATTCGGTATCACCTCATGCTTGAGTTATGCAAAATGGACCGAAGGAGAAAAATAAGTATTTTTCTCAAGTTAAATCAACTTGCTCTTTCAGTGAAATGTATTCCTTGCTGTTGATACGTCTGAAAGGATTAATTTCTTTTTTCTTCTGCATTATATATATTTATTTTATTTTTAATCTCTTTCGTTTTTCTTCCAACTTGCCAGTCTTGTCGCCATCATAAAAAATTGGGTTTGATTAGAACTGCTTTCATACTTTTAATTCTGTGTGGAAGGAGGTGTGGCTATACAGGTAGTCCTCAATTTACAACAGTACATTTAGTGACTGCTGGAAGTTACAACGGTGCTGAAAAAAGCGCCTTACGGCTATTTTTCACACTTATAACCATTGCTGCATCCCCGTGGTCACGTGATCAAAATTAAGACTCTTTGCAACTGACTCATATTTATGACGGTTGCAGTGTCCCCGGGGGGTCATGCAATCACTTTTTGTGACCTTTAACAAAGTCAAGGGGGGAAGCCAGATTCACTTAACGACCTTGTGACTAACTTAACATCTGCAGCGATTTCCTTAACAGCTGTGGCAAGAAAGGTCGCAAAATGGGGAAAAACTCACTTAACAAATACCTCACTTAGCGACATAATTTTGGGTTCAATTGTGGTCGTATGTAAGGCTCTACCTGTAGTAGTGATAACACTACTTGGTGTTGCTGTGGACACGAAAGAGGTTTTTACAGTTCCTTCAGCAAGAGACTAGAAATATGGATGTTTCTAGAAAGTCTTTTTTCTAAATTTTGTCTTTAACGGACACTAGAGGGCGTGGTTGTCTCGTTCAGGAATGACCCACTCTCTCCTCAAAAGTCTTTTTACTCAGCATGGAGAACTAACTGCCTCTGAATTTAAGTGTGCAAATGCCCTTTGGCCTTGACAACTTTGTGCCACACATATTTTACAGGTGGTCCTCGACTTAACGAGCTCAATGCAGCCCAAAATTTCCATTACTAAGCAAGACACACATGACCCCTGGGATAAATATGAATCAGTTGCCAAGTATCTGGATTTTGATCACGTGACCTTGGGATACTGCAACGGTTGTAAAGTGTGAAAACCGTAAAGGTGTAAAAACATGATTCTCTGCCACACTTGAGGTACACAGATGAACCGGCAGCCGTGGGGCTGCTTGACGCCTGGGAATCCTCTGTCCTTTTAATCATTTTTTAACGTGCCTTGCCTCTTTTAAGTTTTACATACTTTTTTTTTTTTACACTTTTACTATTTTATTGTACGCCAGCCAGAGTCCCTCCAAGAGGGAGATAGGCAGTTCTTAAATATATAAACCAAAGGTACAAAACAAGGGTCTTCAAACTTGGCCCTTTTATGACTTGTGGACTTCAACTCCCAGAATTCCTCAGCCAATGTGCCTGGCTGAGGAATTCTGGGAGTTGAAGTCCACAAGTCATAAAAGGGCCAAGTTTGAAGACCCCTGGTACAAAATGGACGATCTGAATCTTGAACTGGCCACGAACAAGGAGTGTATATCGGAGGTGGTGACCCTTTGAGAGCTGTATGCAACGAAATTTCATGTTGATGTATGCCGATTGGTGTACATTCAAAGTGCCAATAAAGTTATTATTATTATTGTTAAATATTAAATAAGTCAATGTTAAATATTTTTTTAAAAAAAACTCAGAATAGCATGGGCTGGAGGCAGTATCTTATCTCGGTCCATTGAGCACCTCCAGTATGAGACCCCCTCCATCAGGACCCCAGGCCTGTCAGCAGAGTCAGGTTTTGAGGTCCTTCTGGAAGGCCAAGAGGGTGGGGGCAGATCTCACCTGGAGAGGCACAGTGCTCCAAAGGGCAGGGGCCACAGCAGAAAAGGCCTTTCTCCTAAACCCCTCCAACCGGACGTTCTTGACCAACGGAGTCTTCGCTGCAATGTCATTGAGTAAAATCATCTCTGGAAGAGCATTTAGGTTAGGATCCTCACAATTGAGCCCAAAATTGCTGTCGCTAAGCAAGACCGTCGCTAAGTGAGTTTTGCTTAACTTGACGACCTTTCTTTCATTTTTCATTTTCATTTTCATTTTATTAAATTTATACCCCGCCCTTCTCCCGGAGGACTCAGGGCGGCTTACAGCCGGTTTAAAAACAATAATACAATACCATACAAAATTTAAAAATGATTAAAAATAAATATTTGAATAGGCCGCTTCTACTAAAATTTTGTTAAAACCAATTAAAATACCCCTAGGCCAGTCCTGCCCGCTGAAA